CTTCTGTGTTCTCATCTGTTCAATGGGTATACACTTCCTAACATGCACCCTCACTGGCTTTGGGGAGGCAAACTGGCCCACCTCATCCTACATCAAAGCTGAACAGACTGGGAGGATGGTGAGAGAACTACATTCAGACTCCCCCTCCAGGGTTTTCACCTCTAGGCTAGCTATCCCCACCTCCCTCTTACTCCAGGTGAAAGAGGGGGAAAGGATAAAGGTAGGAGAGAGGGAGTGCTGGGAAGAAACTGGTGGCCAATCCCTTGATATAGTGTTCACAGGAAAGGGCACAAGGCTTCTGTGGATTCTGCTCTTTTCCTGAGTCCTGCCTGGGTGGTCTTTGCAGTCTGAATACCCCTGGGATAGTCTGGCAAGCCCAGGACATCCTTCCTCCAGCCAATACCCAGAGGGTATAGCCCTGGACCCAGAATCACTTTTGGAGGGGGTGGATTCCCTTCCTGCACCATCCTACCGCACTATTCCAGTACTAGATGGGGAAGCCCGGAAGGCTGCTGTCTGGGTCATTAGAGCATAGGGTCAGTCTCCTGGGGTGGGAGGGGCTGGGACGTGCCTTCCCGCTGCAGCCTCTTAGAAGGACCAGGCAGCCTTCCACCAACCTGCAGGAACGATTTGGCCAAGATACAGCCTCAGGCTGCTGGGCTGTGCTTGGGCTTCAGGGACCGCGGGCTGGGGATCCTCAGCGCCAAGCAGCAGGCAGCAGGCTCGTCACTGCGCGCTCGCCCACACCCTTCCTGCAGTGGGCGGCTAATTGCACCTCAGTCACGTGGCCCACCAGCACCGGCACAGCCCCCCACTTCCTCCTGCTGGGGCCAATGAGTCTCTGAGACTGCTTCCCGTGAGGGGCCAAGAAAGCGCAGCCCTTCAGCCCTAGGCTGCTCTGTGCTGGCCACCTCTACAGCCCTGCTGCTGGCTGTCCCCCGGGGCAGGAGGCCCCAGGCCCCACCAGTGTTGAGCCAGACTGCTCAGGGCTCACGCAGCCCACCGCAGACATGAGATCCCAGGATCCAACAAATGCTCTGGGTGCTTTATTTCCTCATGAGTTTATAAAGACAAACAGCTCTTGAAATTGGTACTGGGGATAACCTGAGTTAGGATGCAGGCCCGACAGCAGGGCTACTTTTCCAGACCGCTCTTTACCTCCCATTCCCTATAGACACCAGAATTTGGGACCAGAGACAGGTCAATGTTGTCCCAGCCAGGGTCCTGCCTAAGCAATGACACATCCATACTCCTGAAGGCCATGTGAGAATAGGGACTGTCCCTGTGCTGAGTGTGACATCATAATTCCCAGGAGGGGGAGCGACAGCATTGAAATCATCCTCACAATAATGTCATAAATACAAACCTCTGACAGCTGTGTGGGCTCATTTGACAAAACTCTTTTCAGTAGTGGCACTACAAAAGGACTGCCTCCTTTACCCCTGCCTGTTCTCTGCCACTGGCCTGCCCCCAGCGTTTACACTAACAAATAGCCCAACCCGACATGGGGTCTCCTTTCAGGCTGGGGACAGCTTTTATAACACCCAGGTGTGTGACTACTAAACCAGCTGGAAGAAGCACCATTTGTCTGTGCTCCACTCCAATAAATAAACATTAAAGTCATTTCCTTATTGACCCCCAGACGCAAGAATCATATCTAAGATTGGATTCCAGCAGCACAAATTTGACAGGGGTCTCATTTGGGGGCTTCTTCCAAGAAGAAAACGGGAGGCAGAGGGAAAGGGGCAGTTGTAAACTAGTCCCTAGGAGGGGAAAGTGTGGGTGGAATCATGTATAAGTTAAGATTTAAACAGAATGCATCACTATGGAAACATTCAGCTTTTTCAAAGGCACCGTTAAGAAAAATAAAGTAATCAAGACTTCAGATTCAACACTACAAGTGTTTATGACCAGAAAAGGCAAAGTGGGTCTTAGATATTCTGCAGCCAAGAAAAAGCTGCCAGAACTCAAGGAAGAAATATTCCCAGCAGGGCAGGAACCCATCATTTGTCAGGGCTTTCTCTGAAACCCTCCAGTGGGAGCATTCTCTTCACGGCAGGGCCTACTTAACTCCCTCTGCCATGGCTTGCCCAGAAGGTAGTGCCAGTTCCTGACCAGGTTCAGCCAGAACTGTTGTGCACAAGGGCAGGGGCCCGGCAGCCAGGGAGGCAGTCGGGAGCTAGTGCCCCAAGGAAACTGCAGGTTCCCATGAGCTGTGACCTAAACTTATTAGGAATCACCAAGTAAGCTAGAGGTTTTGTCAACATGAATCAAAGTAGAACCTGATTTCTCTACTGAGGACAGAATCTGTTGCTAAGTGTCACAGGAGGCAATAAGACATTCCTAGTGTGGAGCCTGACCAGTTTCTTTGCGCTGTCTGCTGCCTAGGATGGTGATGTTGGTAAATATTGTAAAGAAGCCTCACGCTGAGCTTAGGCATCGGTGCAGGGTCCCTAAAGGTACACACAGAGAATGAGGGAAGAAGGGATCAAAGAGGAAAACTTCACCTACCTCGGAAGTTTCAAGCTGTATCTGCCTGGTATGGTCAGGAAGATTAGTGAGCATTTATCTAAATCCACAAATTGGATTCTGTCCCCCAATCAAAGAGCTTCTGTTAAATGGCCAATTGCTGGTCCAGTATTAGAAGCACAGTTTTTTTTTTTCTTTTGTTAATATATTTTTTAGTTGTTGATAGACCTTTATTTATTTATTTTTATGAGATGCTGAGAATCAAACCCAGTGCCTCACACATGCCAGGCAAGTGCACTACCGCTCAGCCCCAGCCCCAGCCCTAGCCCTAGAAGCACAGTTTCTGACTCAGAGATGCTAATGTTGATTAAGAAGAGATAAGATGCAGGGGCTGGGGTTGTGGCTCAGTGGTAGAGTGCTGACCTAGCACATGTGAGGCACTGGGTTCAATTCTCAGCACCGCATATAAACAAATGAATAAATTAAAGGCTCATCTATGCCAAATAAATAAACAAACAGGGAACAAACACATGGCCTTTGGTTGGTTGTGGCCATCTCTGCTAGAATAAGGCTCTCAGGGATGCTTGTTCACTGTTCTGCCTCAATCCAGTAAGGCAGAGCACACAGCATACAGGTTAACAGAAAGTTCTGTTAGACTAACTTCGCGTTCCCTCATCTCTACAAGGGGAATGGTACCTCTCTTGCAGCGGTAGGGGGGAGGATCAGGGATTATGTATCAAAGCTCCTAGGGCAGTGCCTACAGGCTGCTGGTGCTAAGAGGGTGGGGATGGGGCCTAAAAAAACCTCCGAAACCTGTTTTCTTTATGCTATGGCTGTCATACTTGCTTCCTCTGCTTTCTGTGTAACATTAGCAAAATTAGCTTGACCCGAGTTATGGCGTGAGATCTATCAGTGAAACACTGCAACAGGTTGGTGCGTCACTGAGTAGGGCTGTCCTTTGTCAGGGTCTGGGATTCCTGTCCATTCCTAAACTTGGCAGTTTCATTCTTGACATTACAGAAGAGATGCTATCTCAGGGGTGGAAATTAATGGTAGTCATGGCACATTTAGTCTACAGTGACAGCAAGAAACCAAAGGTAAGATCTGCTGCTGATGGAGAAAACCAGGTGGTAGCCCAGCACATCTGCCAGAGAGGGGAATCTGTCTCCCTGACAGACATGGGTAAGTGAAGGGATCAAATGCAGAGCCCATGCAAGAGGACACAGCGACCCTACATTAGGAGGGGGGATGATAGAAGCTTGGAACCATCTGCCAGTTCTTTCATTTGTAAAGAATGGGAGAGGAATTTCCCAGTGTCACCAATCAAACTCATAACCAAAACTGGCTGTACCACCCCAGGCAGTTTTGTTGGGTTTAATAGGAGAACAGCTAGGAATTAAATAGAGGGTTTATTTTATGTTTACAGTGATTTGTACCTTCCTCCCAGGAAGGCACAGTACGATGTTCAATTGTGTGAAGCACTTAGTATTTCTTACAAAAAGGAGCTATACACATTTAAAAAAAAAAAAAAAAACATACTCCAGGGCAAGGAACTAGAGAGCCCATGGAGAACAGAGCCCAGCCAGGCATGGAGTCAAACCTGAGCTCTGGGTAAGAGCGTGCCCATTCTGGCACCTCACCATGAACACAGAATCACTGATCTTACAGCAGGAAAGAGGACAAGAAGCAAGAAGACGCTGTGAATTTTCCCACAGGCAGAGAGAGAAACATGACTCCCCTGCCCTATTTTCATCCATTTAAATTGACTGTCTTTCTCTCAGCTCCACATCTTGTTTGGAGTTAATGTGGCACACTGATCCTAGGGCCAGAGATCAAGGAGACATGTGCTTTTATGATGCAAAAAGGGGCAGTCACTCTGTTCTGTTTTGGGAACCCTGGTGACATCATAGACTAACCCTTGAACCTGGGGAACTTGGGTGTAAGGGAACACTGAGTCAGAAGAGAGCCTTAGTCATGGGACTACTGAAATCTAAGGTGAAAAGAACCATGAGGTAATTGAGTCTATTCCCTGCAGGACTGCTCCCGCTTCGATCTGGCTTGGGTTTAAATGACTCAAGTAATTCTCTAGGGGAAGCTAATCTATGTGGAACAGCTGTCACTAACGGGGTATTTGTTCTCTCCAGCCAAATTTCAGTCTGCTACTTCTCATGACATGCTCAGTCACTCCTTCCCTTAAGGAGACAGTTTCCTCTGGTCTTACAGGTAGTCTGGTGCCTGGCTGCACTGCCTTCACTCTGTGCGGAGGCCTGGAATCTGTCTAAATGGGCCTGGGAAGACTGATAGGCCACGAGGCTCAGTCAAACAAAGTGTCCCCTGAAAACAACAGCTTTCCACTGCAATAACACACAAGCTGAGATGTTAGGGAGCCAAGTCAGACTTCAACAAAGCCCCGTGAAGCCACCTCTGTTTGGGTTTCAGCAGCTGTCTGCCTACGGAAGGCTCCAGAGTTACTGACGTACATTTGTATCTCCACTTCGCAAATGTCATTAGGAATAAACACGTGCAGATTCTCCCCAGAGGCACAAGGCCATTTGTATTTCTTCAAATTACAGGGGGAGGGCAGAAGAAAAGCAGCTTCTGGACCAAATCATCCGTGAGCATAGCCATAGCAGTTTTAATTTGCCTAAAGATAATGTGCAATTTTGAGATGTGCTTTGGAATAACCGTTCCCACAGTAGACATATTACCAACATGAACTGCTGGTGGCTCTCATTTAATAGGACTCCAAGCTGGGAAGCAATGCCACCATCTTCCAAACAGCCACATCACGAGACCAGCTGGAGTAGCCTCTCAAGCTTCTTCCGGAGGAAGGGCTGCTCAGCGTTGGCGTGGCTGGACTCACTGAGGCTCTTCTAGCCAGGACCTCCATCACCAAGGAGCACCCTCAAGGGTGTGGATAAACTGTCCGAAAGGTCAGGTTGACTCTGAGTTCTCTGGAGTGGTATTCCTTGGGCACTCGATGCTAAATGGAAATGTAAATAACTCTCTGACATTCATACACAGTTTTAGTTCGAAGGGATTTACAACTTGTTTGTAATGATATAGAAATATTTCCATTTTATCCCTGTCTCAAAGAACAGTGTTAAGCCCTTTAAAGTTTATGGAAAACATTTTCCATCTGAAACAAATCTGTCTCCTACCCCACGCACTATGTCAGCACCCTTGCAGCAGGATCTCTTCTAACTGTTGTTCTTTCTCTCAGACTCCTGCCATTTTTCCAAATCACATAAGAAAAACATAAATGGATAAGGCCAGAGAGAGGTATGAGACTTCACTCTCATGCTAAGTGTTCATACAATAATATGCACACCTTAAAAATGACCTGACATGAAAGTAGTGGCTAAGCTGTGGAACTGTACAGTCCAACAAGGTGGCATTATTTAAATTTAAATTAATTTAAAAATTCAGTTCTTTAGCACCCTAATCATTTAAGTGGTCAACAGTCACATGTGGCTAATGGCTACTACAGTGGGCAGCAGAGACACAGATCTCTGCCCTGGTCAAAGAGAGCCCTACCGGACACTAAATCTGTAGAGGTCCACTTTGATGGCAGTAGTATTAAAACTCCTTGAAAATGAGGCCAACTTATTTCCTCTGCTCATTATAAAAGCAATTTGCTTTTCACCACATGCTTACTTGGGAATTAAGAAACTGCCTCCAGGAGGGGGATCCGTAGTGTTTGCATGTCCTCACCTGCCAATCAGCCTGGGTAGCTCCTTCCATGATTAACAAGGTCCCGTGATCCAAGGGAATCTTTACTCTCTCCACATACGTGTAGTCTCCATTCTCTTCCTAAAAAAAACAGCATTCACTGCGCTGAATGTTTTTCTTAGTGAGCAAGAGGCACCAGACAGCAATCAGAGATGGAAACCACTACTTCTCAGCCAGACTGTGGGGCCAGCTGTTTGTCCCTGGGCAAGTTATTTCACCTCTCTGTACCTTGATTTAGTCATTTGTAAAATGAGGATGATGACATAGGGCTTCTGTGAGCCTCAGCTGACACTGTAAACCTCTTAGAAACAGCTCACAGTAAGTATGGTATGAAAGCCAGCTCCATGACCATCACCATCCAAAATGCAGAAAAGCCACTCTGGCTTGGGAGGAAATTAAAGTCACTTATACAAGAATTCCTTGTCTCTGCCTTCGGTAGTGCTCTACATTTCAACACTGTGTGGTGAAAATGGCTTCTTAATCAAGACTTGTTGTGCTGAGTTCTACTTCACCTTTTTCTGATTTATGATAATTCATTAATCGGTACCTATGTTAGAGTCACCACGGCCCTTCCCATCACTGTACTCTGCTGTTGTGGAGATACATTCCTCTTTTGAAAACAGACAACTGCAAAATTTTCTCCAAGAAGAGAGATCTGCCTTGGCCGCATGAAGCCTGGCTGCTTGAGCCTTTGAGAATAGATCGCAATTCCTGAATATTTCGGGCACAAATGCCTTCAAAGTACACTTCCCCTTCCTCTTAGAGAGCCCAAAATCAATTTATGTCCAACACAGTCATGAGTCTTCACTGCACAGCCTGCAAAGCAATCAGCAGGTGGTGTCCCTCCTCCTCCACAGCTGACAGAGGAGTGCATTAAACAACTTCTTCGCTTGCAGCATCAAGAGCATGTCCAGAGCCATCCATTCATCGGCTTCACTCGGGTTACATTTGGGTAACTGTGGGATTCTTTTCAGTGCTATAGCGTGTTTATGTTTATTATTGTAGGGGTGCATCTGAGAACTTAACTGTTTACAATGATTTCCCCAAGGAAAATCAAAATCAAAACAATAATGAACTTGCATAAACAGTCTAAGTTCCAGGGCTCAATCCTTGGCAGTGACTTCGTCAAGGATAGTCATAATTTTTATAAACGGAAGACATAAGCAATGTTTGAAATAACTTTTGGGTTTAATGATTGATTTTAATTGTCTGCCATTTTTTCTTTTCCAGGAATAAGAAAGTACCAAAACATTTTCCTCTGACCACTTGGCCAACCAGCGAGCAGTGGGAAGGTGACCCTGTCCTTGGGCAGCCCAGCTGCATCTCAGATGGCCAGAGCTGGCTCTCTGAAAAAAATATGCCAGACAGAGGAGATGAATGTATTACTGGAGAAAGATATCAGAAGGAACTTCGTTGTCCATGAGATTAGAGGGTTCAAGGCTCCTTAATTTAGTCTGTACAGGCGGTTAAACAGACCCAAGTTAACTGAGCTAAAAGCAGGACTCCCTCTACCCTCTGAGTGACCAGGGAGTGCAGTGCGGATGGAAGCAATAAATTAATACTAAAATGGGAAAGTGAAATGAAGCACAGAGAACAACTGCAGCATGATACAATTCTGAGGTGAAGATCTCAGAACATCAAAAACATTTCTGGGGAGGAGTGGGTGCTGAGAGCCATGGGCCAGAAGAGCCAAGCACTGTAACTCCACCTGGAAAGCACCAGGCAAGTGAAAGAGATTCCAAATGCAAGAGGGAACCATTAGCAGTGCTGGAAGATGACACTCCACAGAGTCACACTCCACTCAGTGGTCCCTAGATCAGAATTTTTCAAGAGAAAGCCTCAGGTTGGCTTTAAACACATTACATTCAACACAGCTGCCAGCCACACCAAAAAGCCCATGAGGACGAGCCACCTGCTTTGTCAGTCCCGGAAGGAGACCGGCATGACTGCGAGAGACGGCACCGCACCCTTTGCTGCTTGCTATTTATTCCTTCCAACACCCATAGCTTGGAAAGCACATTCCTAATTTGCAGGAGATGGACAGGAGAGAAGAAGAGGGAAGAGATCAGTGCCACAGACAGCCATACGGCCCTGTAACTTAACCGGGATGCGTGGAGACTGCCTCCAGGTGAAAGGCCAGGGGCGCTCAGGTAGCGGCCCTTGAGTGGCTGTGTATGAGGCTCGGTTGGGAAATGGATAAGCAACAGAGGAAGCGGGTTGGGCCGTTTGGAGGAGCGCATTCACCCGTCATCAAGCATGGTGGTTAAGCAGCTTCCACACGTCTGTGACCCTTCTGATTTATTAAGGACTTTCTTCAAAACACACCCCCAAAACACCGCTGAAGATAAAGATTTTCCATCCTTGATACTAGCTAAAAGAAGCTGCTAGGGTGACAATCCACAGGGGTGGGTTTGTTGATGATGTTGGTTTTCCACACACTTGAAACAATAGATGAAAAAGTAAAAAATACATGTTATATTTTTCTGATCAATGTCCTCACTCCCTAACCACAGTTGGTTCATCTGAATGCTCAATTATGCTTTTCTAAGGGATGCCGGAGACTCCACACAACTTCTACCTCCATCCCACCAAGGAATCATCCAAGTCCCTTTCCTTTAGAAAAATAATATAATAGGAAAAATCAGTCATTTATTGATTGCTATGTCCTTACCAACCATCCAACAGATAGGCAACCTAAGCATTTTCTTTTTCATTTGAAAGGTAATTCACCTTTTTTTAAAAAAAGAAGAAAAAGAAAAAGATTTGATTTTTTTCATAGAGTCATGCCTTTCTTGTCCTAAGGGTGTCTTAGAAATTACTATTATTATTGCTTCAAATTCATCCTCATCATAGTTTCTCTTTCTAGATTTAGAAGTAATGTATCTCACTAACATGAATGATACCCTTGTAACTGTTCAATGTTCTTCCCACTCTGTTACAAAGCCCTCAAAGAAGACCTGTGTGGTCTTGCTCTTTAAGAGATAATCACGACACTCATCACAGTGAATCAAATGACACGAAAAGCCCAAGAAAAGAGAGAAAATCACCTAAGTCCTATCATCCAGAGTTCACACAGCACACAGACAATGGTCTATTATTATATAATCATGCACTGTTTTTAACACATTCTGAGCATTTTTAAATAAGTTTATATTTTTAATATCTTTATTTTACTTATTTATTTTTATGTGGTGCTGAGGATCAAACCCAGGGCCTCGCACATACTAGGTGAGCGTTCTACTGCTGAGCCACAACCCCAGCCCCTTATGAGCATTTTTTGACATCTTTAAATATACAATATTTCAAAAAAAATGGCTATATAATATTCCTTGGTCTGAATATATTCTTTCTTCTCTGAACTTACAAATACTTTTTGTCTATCTGGGTATTCAAAGCATTTTGCCAGTGCTAAGGATATAGCAGTAAAGAACACATTGTTGGATGCTGAGATTTTAATATACCAGGATTTTTTAAAGAGAGAGAATATAAGGTTACTGCAAATAGACTGAGGGCAAAACATCTCTAAATATGTATCTAGGATATATTCCTTTTTTTAGGAATTTTTTTTTGTAGTTGTAGAGGACACAATACCTTTATTTATTTTTATGTGGTACTGAGGATCAAATTCAGTGCCTCCATGTGCTAAGCAAGCACTCTACCCCTGAGCTACACCCCCAGCCCTTCTAGGATATATTTTTAAAAATGGAATTACTGGGCCAATGGGTCTAAACCCTAGCACCTGATTTATACTATCCAATTGCTTTTGAGAAGGCTGATAACTTATAACTCCAACAGGAAAATATGGTAGTACCTATCTTCTGGCTGAATATTATCAGTTGACAAAGATGAAAAAAAGTTAGGGAAGAAATGACAGCACATTCAAGCTCGGGGTTCTTTGATTAAAGCTCCGCTCAACACTTTATTCACATATCTAATTTTCTGTTTGTATTTCTTCACTGTGACAAATTCATATAGTTTATCCACTCTTCTCTATAGATGTTAACGTTTTTCCTATAGATCTGTAACCACAGAGAGTAAGACAGTTACCTTCTGTTGTAGGTTTTGCAAATACTTCACTTATTTGCTAGTTGCCTTTTAACTGTGTTTATGTTATTTAACAGAACAGCTCAAAAGTTTTTAGAGTCAACTGACCTTCCTTTGGCTCTGCTTCATGGTTTTTATGCTTAGAAAGTCTTTTCCCATCCTGAGTAAAGTTAAATATAGAACTTTTAGTTTAAAAGGAAAAAAAAAAAAGAGTTTAAATTTTTTAGACTTTAGTCTACCTGGAGTTTTTGGTTTCGGTTTGAGTTTGTTGTTGTGCTGTTATTTTTTTTCAATGCTGCTACTGCTTTTTTTCCGTGTGTGTGCGCACGCGCGCACATGCATACTTGTGCACATGCAGTACTGGGTATAGAGCCCAGGGATTCACACACGTAAGGCAAGAAAGTGCTCTACTGCTGAAAGTGCTCTACACCCCAACCCTATGGTTTTTTTTTTTGTTTGTTTGTTTTGTTTTAATTGAGATGAACACAATACTTTTATTTTTTATTAACTTATTTTTTTATGTGGTGCTAAGGATCAAACCCAGTGCCTCATGCATGCCAGGCAGGCACTCTACCACTGAGCCATAACCCAGCACCCCTATGATTCTTTTATATGTGTGTATGTGTGTGTGTGTGTGTGTGTATATATATGTGTGT